ATTTATTCCAGGCTCTAAATGCTTAATTTCATGTTTCTAGGTTCAATTTTTGTAGAAAATTCAAAAAGTACCCTTGAAGAACGAAAAATTTCCAAAAAGTCCCCTTTTATAGGTTCTCACTTAATCCTGGCTCTACATGCTTAATTTCACGTTTCTAGGTTCAATATTATACAAAAGTTCAAAAAGTACCTTTAGAACAACGAAAAATTACCAAAAAGTCCCCTTTTATAGATTCTCATTTACTCCAGGTTCTACATACTTAATTTCATGTTTCTAGGTTAAATTTCATAGAAAACTCAAAAAGTACCATTCGAAGTACGATAAAGTTCCAAAAGGTTCCCTTTTATAGATTCTCGTTTACTCTAGGCTTTATGTACTTAATTTCATTTTTCTAGGTTACAATTTTGTAGAAAACTCAAAAAGTACCAATCAAAGAACGAAAAAGTACCAAAAAGTGGCCTTTTTTAGATTTTCATTTACTCCGGTCTCTACGTGCATAATTTCATGTTTCTAGGTTCAATTTAATAGAAAACTCAAAAAGTACCTTTTGAAGAACGAAAAAGTATCAAAAAGTCCCCTTTTATAGGTCCTTACTTAATCCTGGCTCTACATGCTTAATTTCACGTTTCTAGGTTCAATATTATACAAAAACTCAAAATGTACCTTTTGAAGAACCAAAAAGTACCAAAAAGGTTCTCACTTAATCCTGGATCTACATGCTTAATTTCATGTTTCTAGGTTTAATATTATAGAAAATTCAAAAAGTTCCTTTTGAAGAACGAAAAAGTACCAAAAACCGCTTTTATAGATTCTCATTTACTCCGCGCTTCACGTGCTAAATTACACGTTTCTAAGTTCAATTTAATAGAAAACTCAAAAAAGTACCAGTCGAAGTACGATAAAGTACCAATAATTTCATGTTTCTAGGTTAAATTTCATAGAAAACTCAAAAATTACCAGTCGAAGGACGAAAAAGTACCAAAAAGTCCCCTTTTATAGATTCTCATTTACTCCGGGCACTACATGCTTAATTTCATGTTTCTAGGTTTAATTTTAAAGAAACTCAAAAAAGTACATTTGTGGAACGAAAAAGTACCGAAAACTCCCTTTATTATTAATTTCATGTTTTGATTTCAATATCATAGAAAACTCAAAAAGTACCTGTTGAAGAATGAAAAAGTACCAAAAAATATCACTTGGTACCGCTGTTCCAAATAACACCCCATTAGCATATTTAGGGGGGTGTGATGTACTTCGCAAAAAACCAAAACGTGCGAATTTACCACAGCATTGTTGTTATAAAATACAACAACCACATGACAACTTCGCGCGTTTTGATTTTATGCGAAGTACATCAAACCCCCATTTGTGTTTCTAGATCAGCCAAGCGCAGAAAGAGAGACGCGAAGAAACTGTTATTGTAGTGGTGAGAAAATACTAAAAAAACACTTAGAAAAAATATTGCCTAATTACGCTTGTTGTGATCAAATTTCATAACAAGGAAAATAGTAAATTTTACAGATAAAACATATTCAAAGAAAAGAAAAATATATATTTCTTCACAAAGATAAAGTATTAAAAATACTGTTTTTATGTGTTTTCATTCTTATGCATTAGTAAAATTGTTTTGGAGTGTACGAGTTTTTTGCAAGTAATTCTCTTGTTTACAAATTGTGAATTGAAACAAAGCGACATCAACCTACATTGTTGAATGCTGTTAAGCAACTGAAGATCATTTTTTGTATTTTTACGCTCTTGCTATGAGTTTTGTTTACGATCGGGTAGTGTACGTGTGAATTGCCGAAAATCTTCGTAATTTGAACAATATGAACGCGCAACGCTGTTCTAGATCTAAAAATTTTATATAAATTGGATCGTTGTGTTTGAATAAAATCAAATTTCCCGTTTTTACCCCTTTTGGTACTTTTTTTCCTCCCCATTAACGAAATAAAAATTCTGTTCCAAAAAGTTGCAACATCGTATTGAAAGCCCGTTATTATGTATTCATATATTAATAAACCAAAACAATGTTTTATGAAAAGAGTACCAAAAATAGGTACAATTTTCACCCCTTAAACGTCCGAATATCCAAAAAGTACTAAATTTATATTTTTATTTTTTCGTCAAGTTATGAAGGAGTCAAAAATATTTTTTTAATGTTTTCTGGTTTAAAAGATACATGGGGTGCAAAAAACAGTGCCAAAATACAGTTTATTCCCTGAAGGGGCCGAATTTGAAAAAAGTACCAGACACCTGTCCGCTTATTTTTTAAATAAACGACGATAAGCTTTAAATTGTTTTTGTATCTTTTATAGTTTAGGAGATATGAGGTTACCGAATTTACACGTTTTTACCCCCTAAACACTCGAATTTCCTAAAATCCCATCTTAGTGGATCTATTTGGTGGGAGACCAACTTCTTGTCCAAATTTCAGCTCTTTAGCTTCAACAGTTTAGGCTGTGCGATGATGAATCAGTCAGTCAGAAACGTTAGAATTTTATATATCATGAATTCCATGAGAAATCAAATAAGAATTGACCGATGGTCTTCAGATTTCTTTAATTTTTTGTAAACACATACTCTATTAGACACATAAGATATATCAGCGTTAAATTCTTAAAAATTTTAAGAAACGCGATTTTTATGGCGATTTTAATTTGTTCGAAAACTACAAAAAATCAAAAAGGTATAAAACTTTGAACCTTTATATCTTTGAGATTTTCGGATTTTTTTGATTTAGAACCCAATCTATTACTGTGGATGAGCTCTTTGATTCTAATATAATTTTTATATTAAAAAGTTTAAGATTATGGAAATGCACTTTTTGAATGCATTTTTGAAATCGTTCTCCCTGTTTAAAATTTTTTAAAAGTGCTTAAGTCGATTATTTATTTGACGTTCATTACATCCATTTTGCAAAATATTATGAATTACTTAATAAGATATTTGCACTTTTTAGTATAGATATGTACATTAATATATCATAAGAAAACAAACTTATATAGATCTGAAGATATTATTGATTCGTTAGGTATATGGAAGTTGCCATAGGAGGGATAAATTGACCTTTGAATATATAATGCATCTATATCAATAACAAATTTTATGTCCAGGACTATCAAGTATAGATAGTGTTCAGGCTCGCGACGATTCATCGGGAACGGAAGTAGACGACTGTCTCGACATAGACATTGAGCCCCTGCTTTAATTGTGACCTGCCTCCGCTCGCTACGCCTGTGAATGACGCTTAGAAATATTGACAGGTGTAATTTTGTCAATCAACCTAAGCGCCATTACAGTTTGTGAAAAAAACCCAGCAGCATAAATTCTCGGACAGCGACAACAACCCTTATGTTTCGATAAATAAAGTCCGTTTTGAGAACGTCTCGATTTTTATTATACTTACGCAGTAAACAAGTAAGTGCATTCAGCATTTTATCGTCTTAATAAATAACAAATATCTTCATATAATGGTTGGAATTTGTTTAAATAGTTAATTTTTTATTGGTTTAAATGCCAACTTTTTACTAATTTCCTGATTGTCTGAAATTGTAAATCTGCAATAAAATATGCAAAAATCTGCGAAATATGCAATAAAAACCGGTTTATAAACACTATTTATATTGGAAAATTTTTAAATTTTATTGATAATTTAAAACTGCTTAAAATACATTACTGATCACAATTGGAATGCAAATATTTAAATTCATAAAAATGCATTTCTAAATAATATTTTTTAAGATAGATGCATTTTTGATGCAAATGCACATTGAGAGCGTTTTCCAAATTGTTCTCCCTGTTGAAAGTATTTTAAAATATCATAAATCAAAACTTGCTATTTTTTTATATTATATAAGATTTTATTTATTTAACGATATTTTGAAAATTATTTTTTTAGTTTAAATTAGTTCAATAATGCTCTTACAAGATACGTTAAACATGGAGTAAAATGTAGAAAATGCACCCAATATACATTTGCAATAAAAATACATTTATCTTAACAAAAATTATTTAGAAATGCATTTTTATGAAAGTGTACATTAGTTGTAATCGAATTTAAATATTTTCATCCCAATTGTGATTAGTAATGTATTTTAAGCAGTTTTAAATTCTGTTAAATGCATAAAATATCAATAAAATTTAAAAATTTTCAACATAAAACATATAAAAAATCGGCAAAAATAAATGTAATGAACGTCACAAAAAATATTTTAATATTTTGCATAAAAAGCTTAAAATAATCGACTTATACACTTTTAAAAAATTTTAAACAGGGAGAACGATTTCAAAAATGCATTCAAAAAGTGCATTTTTATAAATAATGCACTATCTTAAACTTTTTAATATAAAAATTATATTAGAATGAAAGAGCAAATTTTTGAAAATAAATAACAGAGTTGCTTTATCTTCCACTTCAAGAACATATATTGATAATATGAAGGAAATCGGAAGACATGAGGTCAAAAATTGTCAGTTTTTCTGTGTTCTTTCCTGGAATTCATGATATATAGATAAATATAATAATAAATAAATGATATATTATTTAAATAAGAATACTTGAGTTTACGATTTTTTTTCTTAATTTTAAATAAGTTATTTACTCTGAATTGTTATAACTATTGCAGAAACTGCTGAATTGTTGTAAGTTAATAATGTAGCTCGCCTCAACGTCGATTGTGATTTGAACAAAAACAATTAAATGAAAGCAAAAATTAGAGATGACTTAATGAATCAATGTTGAATATAACTTGCGAAGAAGCTCAATCTTAATGAAAGTTATAAAGAATATTTGTATGATTTTTAAATAATGTTTTTACCCCGATGTTCTCAAAATGTTCAATAGTTTTTGGTTTTCAACAGAAAATTTCGCTAACAAACCACTTAAAACTTTAGTGATTGTTTAAGGGATTCCTCATTTACAAACATTTGAAAAAAATTTAAAAACATAATTTATATGTATTTATTTCTGAATTCTAGATATAAACATTTACCATACTTACAATTTGGATCTACCAGTTGTGAATTAAGGCGATTGTTTTCCAATAAAGGTCTCATATGCAAGGTTTCATTCACACCTCCATTTATATTGTTAGGACCACTGATTTGTAAACACTAAAAATAAGTAGATATATTATAATTATTATTATTGTTATTAATAAAACTATATTATAAAGAACTATGCCTAAATGTTAATTATATAAAACTGCAGATGAATGCTGTTTGGAACGATGCTCAAACTGCAACATATAACACCGTGCAACAGCCATTCTCACACATAAAAAAATCTATGTGTGCAGGAAACAGGATCATTAGTATAACCTCTGTGTACTCAGTTTTTCATAATCAGCTCTTATGCCCCTGTAAAAGGACCTTAAAGTTTAAAGGACATACAATTTCAAAAAATGAAATTGCAAATTTATATAAAAAATTTAATATTAATATCAACTGAAGCTGAGAACCTCTGCTTAAAAATAATGTTATATATTTCAATTCCTCAGGATTAAAGAAGAGATGGAAGCTTAAAGAAAATTTGTTCCAAAAAAATAGTTAAAAATTTTTGTTTCTAAAATGAGACCTTTTTTAAATTTAATTTCATTTTCGATTTTTTGTCTAAGTGAGTCAAATAAATAATATGGACAGAAAGTACAGATTCCCAGCTTTCATTTGATACCAATATTAGCATCATACAACACATATAAATATTTAAAATATTCGTTTGAAATTGTAAGTCCTTTAAACTTTGAAGTCCTTTTATAAGGACATAAGAGCTCTAAATGGACTTTAGTTTCACAGCTTTTTTTCAAAATTGTTACAGGGTGTAATTAATTGAAAAACTAGAAAAAATGTCTTTAAAAATCGCCTATTACTCGATTGAAATTAAATCCATTATAAATTGAATTAAATTATTTTCAACAATTTAATTTGTAATAAGTATTGGAAAACAATACAACACAATTCAATACGATTTTTATTACTGTGTTCTAAACGAAAGTTCTATGGTAGACTGCGTTACCGTTGTGCGTCGCAATTTGACCCTTTTTCAACAGCTTTGTATTTCCCTTTTCTAAAATGAACTAAATTTGCAACTTTTTGTCACTTTACGTCACCTTTTTTATTTTTAACAAATCACCAATTTTCGAAATAAAATCTTTCAAGTGTACATCAATTTTGGCCAGTAAGTTTTGAATGGAAAATAAATCCGTGCATTGCTATTTTCTTTTGGGAATATACACTGCAAATAATCCATGCCTAATATACACGAAAAATGTTGTACATTGTACGAAATGCTTCGTTGGTTTCGCACCACGAAATTCTTTCGTAATATATACGAAATTGTACGAAATATTTTAGTAAAATGCAAAATAATTTTATATAATTTTAGAAAAAAAATTTGTTCATTTTACGATTTTTTTAAAGACATAAATATTTTAGTTCTTTTAAAATAATTATTGTAAATTTAGAAAAAGATTGCGAATTAAAAAAAAAAGCAAATTTTTTATGTTTAAAAAAAAAGAAACATAAAAAATTTTACAGGAAATTAGGCAGCTAATTTCCTGTAAATTAAAAATTACGTTTAATTTAACTCCCTTAAAATTACGAAAATAACAAAAAAAAAAACGTAACAAAATAATTTTTTGGTGAAATCAAAAATAATTTTTGTATATTACTAAATAATCTTGTTACGAAAAACATTCGTTACTTTCGTTAAATATTACATGCCTTAACGAAATTATTTTTGTAAAAGAAAACAAAGTTTCTTAATATATACGAAAAAAGATATTACGACAGGTTTTCGTACTTTCGTAAAATTAGAAAAGGGGTTGATTAAACAATATTTCGTATTATACACGAAATTTTCGTATATATTACGAAAAAAGTAGTTACGAAATTTTTTTTTCGTAAAGTTAAGCATGGATTATTTTCAGTGTAGTAATTTTTATTTTACTAAATGATTGATTTGATCAAAAGCGATGAATGGCATATTGATTTTGACATTTCGTTTAACATATGGAGTTTGTAAATCTTATAAAAATATTCTGTGACCTTGACAATGTAGTTATATTTTCCCCTATCTGTTTTGACTCGATAGCAGCCACAAATTGGACAATTGGTTGAAATTTTCAAAATGTTTTCAGTTTAGATTGTTATGCTTTAAAAGCTTTGTGTTTATTAAGTGGAATATCTATCCAAAAAAATATTTTAACATTCATTCCACTAAATGACCACAAAGCTCTAAAAGGAAATGGTCTAAGCTTTCTTTTTAAGCAAAAAAAAAAAAAAACAGCAAAAACGTCCATTTTGAAAAATTTGAGGAAATTCAAGTGCCAAATATTGAAAAAATCTTATTCTTGAGTAAAAAAAATATTTTTTTAATAGATATCCCACTCGAATCCCATTAAACAACTCTAAAGCCCTTAAAGTAAATTCTATATGCTTTTTTTTATTCACAAAAAAGGCTCCATTTTGAAAAAAAATTAAATGAAATATAAAAAAAAAAATAAAAATTATTTTTTTCAAAACAACTTTGGACAATTTTTGCTAGGACCAATAGGTGAAAAGTTACACTTATTTGAAAAAACCCTGTGCGGCCAAAATGTCCAACTTTGACCCCTTCTAACTACGGCAGTTCTTGACCGATATTTGTGTCTACTAACCTTGGTGGAAATTTCATCCACATTGTGACGACAAAAGTCGGAGCCCCTCGTTTTTGCCTACATCAAAATGTATTGAATTTCGTATTATGTTGTTATATTATAAATTGTTATTGTTATTATTAATATTTGTATTATTATTATAATTATTATTATTATTGAATTTTGTTTATTGAATTTCATATTATTTTGTTTTGAATTAAACGTTATTTTTTTAAAATAAGTAACATTTAAGTAAATATAATCTAAATATTTAAGTATATATAATCTAGTTGTCGGTTATAGTATTAAATAATTATATACGTTTTAAATACAACCCTGCCCATTTATAAAATTGTAATAATACACAAGTAAATAACTATGGGATCCAGCGTATATAAGGCAGGTAATTTCTATGTAGAGAGCAGTCTGCTAGCTGGTGGCCAAGCGGTAACAACTGGTGAGGAGATTAAATCTCCCCAATTGTCGCACTTACTGGCTATTTTGAAAGAGACTAATAGGAAGCTGGTGAAATTTACAGAGGTAAGACCTCTACCATATTTCACTGCCTATAACAGTTGAGGTTAGACTTCGACATTGGGTTCCTATTAGTAGCTTTCCAAATAGTTGGGAAAGCCTCATCGTGCTAAAGGAGATACATACTGTAATCAACATTAAACTAGTAGCATTATGTTAAGTTTACGTTAAATGAAGTGTACGGTTTGTAACTTTTTTCTGAAAACCCGGTGTTTTCCTTGCACAAAACTTAAAAGAAGCGACCTTGGAATCCGCTGAGCCTACCCCAGCAACCAGCGGAAAACCGTGTCGTTACAACATTATACCATTTAATTATATATATGCATATTTTACAAATGTCGTTACGAATAGCTAAACAAAGTCAAAGTAGTACAATTATAAATCTTTAGTGAATGGCTGTTCCTTTAAAAGATTTTACCAAGGCTAGAAATACCCTTTTTGTTTTTAAGTCCGATCGTAACATATGATATATCAATGTTTCATATATTTCACTCTTAGACAATTTTTTAATTCGACGTCATATTCTATGTGCGATTTCTGTTATCTCGGATTCTTCGCCAAAATCTAAAAATTGTGGCTATACTGGAATAAAGTACAATGAATTATATGAACTTTTAGCTTTTAAAATGCGCACTTTTATGCACAAACAGCTATATTATAGATATTTAAAAATGTTCAAGTATTCATTATCAACCGTTTTCAAAACAAACAATTAATTTGCCAAAAAAAAAAAAAAAACAGTCGAAAACATATTTTTTTTTTTTTCGAAAATGTATTATAAAACAGAAATCCTTTTTATTACAAACCATTTTAGATCCTACTTCCTATCAATATAGAAGAAAGTTAATTATATCCTACAGTTATATAGTGGTTTAGCTATGTCCGTCCGACTGTCCGTCCATGTAAACCTTGCAATCAAACTACAAGTCGCAATTTTCCAGATAATTTGATGAAAATAGGCTCAAATATTTCATTTTACCAAAGGACGAAGTTGTTTGAAAATGGTTTAAATCGGTTACGAATAGTACTTTCTAGCTCTTAATTATGGCTCCAAGGTCGTTATTTCCCTCTTAAACACTACCATTATGATGAAATTCTGCATACCTAACTCTTATATAAACATAAATCCTTCCACCAAATTTTGACAATATTTCTAATTTATATTAATACATACATAATAGGTCTGTTCGCGTACTCGATCATTTGTAACAATTTGTAAGAATTGTTACTAGATTCCGTTCGCGTACTTTTGAAAACTTGCAACGAGAGAATAAGAGAGCGATAAAAATGACAGTTTGTTGATAGAGAATTTTTTAATTTTACTGGATATCTTTTCCCCAGTAAAAAATATCAAACATATGTTCACAACATATGGTTTATTAATGAATATGTAAACAAACTAAAGAAAATTAAAATTTGATAAGTTTTACATTTTTAGAAAGAAATATATAAATTAATAACACACAAATATTAAAAAATTATTTGTAATTTTATTTATCATAAATTAGTTTTTAAAAGAGTTTGTTTGTTGTGAAAAATCATAATCACCCTTATTATGTATGTCGTAGTCGAAAATCGACAACCGTCGTAGTCGCAGTCGAATTTAAATTTTATTGGTATTATGTAACCTATTCGACGTGAGTAATTTTGTAAAAGATTACTTTGATAATATTTATATAATTTATGAATTACCTTGCGCCTATTTTATTTTTTTAATAAAAAAATTTTAATACAAATTTTGTTAAAAATGTTAAGAAGAGCAAACCAGTGCAAGAAATCAATCCATTTACCGAAGACAGCAAAGATATAAATCAAATATACTTTCCCTACCAAGTTCAATGTAAGTATTTTGTATTAAGTTCGCAAACTTTAAATTAAAACTTTTTTCAGATATGTTCTAAGGACGATATCGCCAAAACTTTGTGATCCATCTAGATCAACAAGTGTGAGTAAAACATTACGGTTAGCAACATTTCGAATACTTGCTGAAGGCTGCTATCAAAGAAGTGCAGAAAACGACTTCAATGTAGGTCTTGCTCAGCCAACAACAAGTTGTGTGTTCAATGAGTATGTGGAGGCAATGTATAGTGAGCTTTGTCCGAAGTGGGTTTCATTTAAAATGACTGAAGCGGAAAAGTTAGAAATAAAGGAATTTTTCTATATTAAGACCGGCTTTCCAGGTGTAATAGGAAGTGTAGATGGTACACACATAAAGATTTTGGCGCCATCTCTATCCGAACGATGGAAATATTATAATAGAAAGGGATACTATAGTCTAAATGCTATGGTGGTCAGTTGAATGTTAGATTTAACTTTGACATATAACATGACAACTTTATCTTTAACATATAGGTCTGCGATCACAAGCTAAGGATACGTTACCTGTCTCCACATCATCCCGGGTCAGCACATGATTCTTTGGTTTGGCATGCTAGTGATCTAAAGTCATATCTGAGAGATATGTATGAAAGTGGAGAAAGAAATACATGGCTATTAGGTAAGTTCGAAGAATTTATCGAAAAATACCAAAATCATTTCCATATATATGTCTACTGGGGATGCCGGATATCCACTAGAACCTTTTTTGATAACTCCATTTAGAACACCAGAAGAAGGTAGTCGTTAATGTCGATTTAATTGAGTTCATTCAAAAACCAGGAATGTGGTAGAAAGGACAATCGGTGCTTTAAAAAACCGTTTCCGTTGTCTCCTTGGTGCTAGACAACTACACTATTCCCCAAACCTGGCTGCAAAAATTACAGCGGTTTGTGCAGCATTGCACAATATATGCATCCATTTCAAGATCGATTCCACTGCATTTGACAATATTGTGGAAAACCAGGAAGTATATGGTAGCACAGGAAATAACGTCGACCTCACAGCAACAAATATAAGAGTAAATATAATGAACTCAATTTTTAAACGAACAGTGTTTATTAATTGTAATATAAAGAGCATTTAATAAACAGATTTTAAATTAACAAAAAAAATTAAATTAATGAAATTTGTTTTCTTCCAATTCCTCCATTCTTAATTTGATCATTGTGGTCCTGTTCAATACTTTTTTTTTTAATATTATCTTTGTATAGTTTCATCTTTTTCTTTTGTAATTTAAATTTTTCTTGGAGCTTATAAGTTTTAAGACTGTATCTTTCGATTTCAGATAAACTTTTCTTCAGATCGTTATACATTTCTCTCTGAACGTTTAACTGCTCCTCCAGAAGTATGTGTTTCTCCTTAGTTGCTGGTCTTTTTCTTGTCGAAATGGGGACATCGGATGGGACATCGAACACGGCATTCTCATCGGTGCTTTTATTTTGGTAATTGCTATATGAAAACTCAATATTCGTTTCCTCAGCTAAATTGGTCGGAATATTTGAAATTTCAAAAGTTTGTCCTTCTGGACTTATTATAGTATCCATTTGCAATAGTCCTGCAACAGACTCTTCTAATGGTGTCAATACCTTTTGGTTAAAATTTCCACCTCCAGTAGCACTCAATTTTATTGTTAACTTTTTTTTAACACTTGTTTTCATATCGGCCTAAACTTGCATCCAACCTTCTATTTCTCGAGCAGGAGGGCCGAGGCTATTAAGTTTATTTTTTTTTTTTTCATTCCATTGCTCTCTTATAGTCGATTTTTCAGTATTTTTATGATATCCTTTTGCTATATTAGGATTTTTGCACATTAAATCAACCAGCATCTCAAACTGCTTCGGTGTTGTTTTCTTAATGCTGATATACATATATAAAACATTTTCCTATAAAAAATTTCACAAAAATGATTGATTTGCACTTACGTTTTTATATTACTCATTGTTATTATTTTAGTTTTTATTAATTTTTTTTGTCACCAACAAAATATACTACGACAATTTCTATCGAATTTTTGTAGAAAATTCGACATACATAATACCATATTTTGTAATAGATCTTTCACAGAGTTGCATTTCTCTCGAAAAAACGACATATGTAATACCATTTTGAAAAATCGACACAAAATCGAAGTGACTACGGCATATATAATAAGGGTGAATAAATATTGACAATCTAGCGTTTTTAAAACAATATAGAGTGTCTTTCTCTTAGCGATTTTGTGTAAATTTTTATTTTAATAATATGTTTGTAACACGAAGTTTTAAAACCATTATATATTTTTAATGATATTATATGTTTTGTTAACTTTAAATATCCTTTTATTTACAAGAAAAATCATATTTTGTTTGATGTTTGTTTTTAGTGTTTTGTTAGCGATTGAGATTTCAGCAAAAGAACATTACTAATCTTTGTTTATAAACAAAAACATGCAATTTTTTTTACAAATTTGCGTTCGCGTACTTTTTTGGATATTTTGTTGATTGAGAGTAAATTAAAAACTACTCTCCATCATAAAGTTACTGGATATTTTTTAGTGGAAAGAACGCGAACACACCTAATATAATTGAAGTTTTAAATTAACAGGACGTCTTTATTGTTTATTTGTTTCGACATTATTTGCAATTACAAAAATCATGTAAAAACAAGTTAGAGTGGTATATATTCCTATGCCGAATCTTACATAACCTCCACCAGCAAGCAATTTTTTAAAGCCCATTTAAATATCTAACTTTTAAATATTTTATACTACTACTAGCATACCATGGATGCTTCGCTACCCTAACCAAAATTAACTACATACAACATTTTTATTACTTTTATAGAAAATTTTAATTAAATTAAAGTTTATGTTTTTTACGTTCAATATTACTGAAATTTATCACGTGAATAATTTCACATTTAGTAAGGAGCGTGTATTTTTAATTTCATTCGTTTAGATTTCGCGTTTTAGAAAATATCGAAAGTACTATTTGAAAAAGGAAAATATACTTTTGAGAATTAAGTTTACAAAATGTTCCGTATTTAAATCTATATAAATAAAACACAAACGATTCAAATCTGCATTTGTTCCAGAAAAATTGTCCTTACAAAAAGTACCAAACAATTTACTCAAATTTGGTCCTATATAGGCCTTAGTATTCAAATTCCAAAATAGTATTCCAATAGCTTTTTAACTTTTTACAATTTTATAAAAATTGGCTCAATTTCCCGTCTTTCCCCTTTTTGGTACTTTTTCCCCAGTGAAATAACAAAAATTTTGTTTCAATAAATGTTACAGAGTTAGTCCGTAATTTAATAAATCTAAATAGTTTTATATATATTCTTTATGGATATATGGACCTAAATTTGATTAGGTCGAGTGATTTTTGGATATGGTATATTTCTTTATGCACATATAGATCTAATTCTGATTAGGTCCAAACTTATTTATATTAAGTGATTTTCGGATATGGTATTTTTACGCGTGCTATGACCTATTATAGACCGATCCTGCCGATGCCAAAAAATTTGGGAGAATAATATGTATATTTACAAAAAATATTTCTGTCGAATTTTACTCCGATGTCGATTTTGGTGACCTCATATGGAAACTATGAGCAATAATGGTACAATTTCAAAAAATGTTAGCTGAACGATTTATGTATCTATAGTATAGATTCTATACACAGAACATACTCATGCCGAATTTTATCCGGATATAATCATTTAATAATGAATTATGTATATGGTATTAAGTGATTTTAAAAAGTGAACCTTATATGGGAGCTATGACCAATTATGGTCCGATTCAGAAAAAATTCCATACAATGATTCATATATACAAAAAACATGTTACTTTACTTTTATTTTCAATGAAATTGTGCATTTAAATAATTTTCGGATATAATCCTTATATGGGAGTTATAACCAATTATCATCGGAAGTGGACCTTATATGGGAGCTATGACCAATTACGGGGCTATCCGGAAAAAATTTTTTAGATTGATTCATATATACAGAAATCATATCCATGTAGAATTTTATTAAGATAGTTTTATTTGGCAATGAAATAAGTGTGTTTAAGTGCGATATAATTAATTTCCGGGAATATGTACCATTATACGTAGGATATTTGAGATCGATTGTTATGATTTTGAACATAATTGATCCCTGGCAGAAAAAAACGTGTGAAAGAATTCATCGAAATATCGTTGGTAGTTTCTAAGAAAACTACCTTAGAATTAGGAGGTAGTCTGAAATTTTTATATAAGAATAAAGTTTTTAGTGAAGGTTTTGTTTAAAATGTTAATAAAGGCCAATAATTACAAACAAATTTCAATTCCGCTTTAAGAACTGAATATTTTTCTAATGTTCACTGGGGTGAATAGTATTCATATATTGTATTCACCAAATACTTACGTGCTGTTGAAGTTTTTGTTGTTGTTGATGCTTGTGAAAATCAAAAAATTTTGACATGTTGGTCCCAAACAATGAGCTCTGGAGAACATTGTCATTCGATGATTCATTTGATTGCTGTTGTTGGTACTGCAGATAGCTTGTTTGTCGACTTAAATCTGAACTAGTTAAGTAATTGTTGGAACCAGTTTGAAAGTCTGAAATTGAAAAGTAGTTATAATTTATTAATTATTTAATTAGCTTAAGAATAAAAACAATTTTCTGCGATGAATATATTAACGGTTTAATTAAAGATTCATAAAATACTTTAAACGTTCACTAAGGTTATTTTTTCCTACATTTGGTCTACGATTGAATTAAATACAAAAAATTCGTATATCTGGGAAGTCATTATAGCTAGAATTCTCATGGTACCACCCATATGAATTAAATGTTTATCAATTCTATAACAGGTTCCACTAGTTTACTGATTTTACTTGTTCTTAAGTTCACAATACTGAATAGTATTAAAATACACTAACATTATTGTGAAAATATTAAACAAGCATGTGCAGGGTGAGTAGGTTCGACAAACGAGTTATTCTCACACACAACTTGCTTAATATAGAAACGAAATATTACTCGTCTCACTCGTTGAGAGTTGTGTAGGGTTTGATATAATTTGGCAAAAAATCTTATGATAGCAAAAACATCTCGAAATCTACGAGTGATCAGTTGGAACTTTTGCGTACAAACAGCCTTTATGCTTTGTAAACATAGTACGGCGCTAGTATTGTTTTGAATGCGAAGATTTTCGGCAATTTACATGTACACAACACGATCTTAAACGAATCTCGTAAAAAAATTATTTAGTTGCTTTAAAGCATTCAACAAAGCGTGTTGATGTCGCTTTGTTTCAAAAATTACAATTTATGTTCATTAACAAAGATTTTCGGCTATTTACATGTACACAACACGATTTTAAACGAACCTCTTAAAAAATTTTATTTAGTTGCTTAAAAGCATTCAACAACGAAGATTTTTGAAGAGAGTCTTTAATTGGCAATTGGGTCAATTATCAACTAATTCCGAATTCCAGAGAGTGTAAATTTCTAATAACAAACCATTTTTGTCAAATGCATATATCATAATATTTTTATTTTTGGTGTTTAAACGATTTATTGGCAAAAAGTAAACCGATTTTGTCCATTTTGAATACCAATCAAACTGCAACAATAGTTTAGGTCCTATCGTTCTTTCAAGAGACTGACTGACAGACATGTCTAGAACGTTTGAGAATAAGGACTTAGAAAATTTCGATGTTACAAATGAGATGCATGCTTGAAATTCACATATACCCTCATTAAATAGCAGGATGCAAGGGTAATATTTATACCTTAACCAGGGAAACCTAGCTATTCGACACCTAAGTCTTATCGACCGATAAGTCTTACGCCCTTCCTACTTAAAACTTTGGAACGGATAGTTGATAGTATGGTGAAAAGCAGTATAGCCGACAAAGACCTAAAATTTAAGCAGCATGCTTATATAAAGGGACGATCGGTGGAAACCGCTTTAAAGGAAGTTGTCCACTATATAGGTGCATCCTTTGATAGCAAACTGTATACACTGGCGGTATGCATTGACATCGAAGGCGCCTTCAATAACGTGCACACTGATACTCTTATCCAATCCCTAGACCAGTTTTATGTTGACCGGGTGCTCCGTAACTGGATCAACCACATGCTAAGGAACAGATGGATAAGCTGCGAGATGTACGATATAACTATGGGTGGCATTTTGTCACCTTTACTCTGGGTTACCACGATTAATAGCCTCCTAAGGACCCTAACTGAGAAAGGACTTAGACCTGTCTGCTATGCAGACGATGTCGTAGGGATAAGATCCAAATTACTTGTGTAGAAGAGCTGAGGTGGCTCTGAATACGGCCTTGAGCTGGGCTCAACCGAGAGGCCTCAAAACTACTAATAAATAGGTGTAATCCTCGACCGGAAATTAAAATGGAGACACCACATAGAGGATAGCATCAACAAGGCACATCGGTGCTGGGTGATATGTAGGAGAACTATAGGCATGAAATGGGGCCTTAGTCCTACTATGACAAATTGGCTTTATAAAAGTGTAATTAGACCAATTCTAGCTTATGCTTCAATAATCTGGTGGACTGCTTTAGACAAAAAGTGCAATATCAAACTACTACAGGGAGTTCAGCGTACATGCTGCTTGGGTATAAGTGGTGCCATGTGTACTACTTCAACCAAGGCTCTGGAAACGTTACTAGATATTCCACCCATTGAAACATATTTAAGATATGAGGCGGCGCTTACAGCCGAACGGCTCTTTACTTTAGGCGAAGTGGCCAAAAGCGGTTATAGAACACGTCATCAATGTACATATACTGGACACATTGGAAGGTTATACACAATCATCGGACGTGCCTGATCGTATACCAGACACAGAATATGTCGGAAACTTTGAAACGCTGATCCCAGATAGAATGTCTTGGTCAAGCGGAACATTAGAGCAAATACCATTAGGAATCCGTTGTTACACGGATGGCTCTAAATTGGAGGACAAAGTGGGGCTGGGTTTCTATATTGAAGACCCAGAAACAGAAATATACCACCGTTTACCAAATCATAACACAAGCTTCCAGCAAAAGTACGAGCAATAACGGAATGCGTAAATTGGATTAGAATAAATATGGCGCCCACAGCGCTTAATATATTTACCGACAGCCAGAAGACAATTAGGACGATATCAGGCGATAGAACTAAATCTAAGACCGTATTGGATTGTAAGAAAGCTTTAACTGAATACTCTCCCAGGGGTAAGGTTCACATCATATGGGTACCAACCCACTCGGGAGTAGTCGGTAACGAAAGGGCGAATGTAATAGCTTTAAAGGGAAGGGAGCTCGAGGCAGTTAACCTGACAAACACAAAACCATTCGACGCAACAAAAGCTGAACTAAACATATGGGTGAGAGAATCCCATAAGGCCTCTTGGAATAATGAAACAGTGGGTAGAACCACGAAGATCCTATGGGGTGACCCTGATGAGAGCAAGACGAATAATCTCCTCAAAATGAGCAAGTCTGAAGTTAGTATGATGGTACGTATTCTGAGTGGACACACAGGACTACGAGCACATCTATGCAAAATTGGACGTGCGGATTCAGACGAATGTAGAGCATGTGGAGAGGACAGTGAAACTCTGGAGCACTTTCTTTGCCACTGCCAGGCACTCGTCGAAGTTAGATCCAAGTATCTTGGAAGTGATCTTATTCCGGAAATAACATTCCTGACTAACACTGATTGGAAGATTCTTAGGAATTACGTTCAGGAAACTGAGTTTCTGAACACTGAAAAATAATTTTTTCAGTTTTTTTTCATGATAAGGATCGCACAACAGGCTCGACAGTGGCCTAGGTGTATTTCTTCGGATTTGATGTAGTCCTCCTATCGACCTACCTACCTACCTACCTACCATGTATTGGATATGGATGGAATGATAATAAAACTTACAGAAATTCTGTTAAGCGGATGAATACTTATGCTGCAGTAAATACAATAAAATACTTAAATACTATGATTAATCAGAGTCCCTTTAAGTTAAAAAGTACATTATTCAGAAGGAAAAATTAGCACTACAAAAGGCGTTCATTGGCTGATTCTTTTGTGTTAGGCATAATTCCGTTCAAAGCAAACTTCAACGGACTTGTTATATTTTATGATCATAAACTCATGGTCGCATACTATGTATGTATGTTTGTATATTGTACACTGTATCTTTATTTGCAGCAATAGTGTTATTATTTAAAAATAGAAAAATGTTCCTTTGCACAAAATTTGCGTTTATTATTAGTCAAAATCATTCTTATTATACAAACTTACAAATATCAGCTGTAAAATTAGTTATTTAAAACTTATACGCATACGCTCTTTCATATAGAGATAAAAAACTTAAAATTTTAAAAACTAAGGTAAAATTTTAGTTTTTGATATACAACACTCTTCATTCAGTCTACTACAAATTGAATTTAAGAAAAATTTCGTAATTCAATTTGGAGTAAATGATGAAACAGAAGTGCGCTATGCCCGCTTTTTTTCCATACAAACTGGCATTTTTTGAAGTCGTAGAAGGCGCTTGTGAAAATATATTTAATTTTATTTTGAGAGCGTTTATTTTTATGCTCACATTTTTAGGTACGCATTCTCTCAACAGCGTTACCATTCTTTCAACGAAAAATAAAAACAAAAGAAAATAAATAGAAATATGAGATAATTTGTAGTTACTGCCGTAGCTTTAATTATGTACTTATGTCGTTTTGACAACGTTTTTGCTTGAAGTTACAGTCGTATTCTGTTTCATCATTAAATTTGAATTAAAGAAAGATTTAATCATTTAAAGCAAAATGTAATTCAAACATGAATGAATTCAGTATATGAATGAAGGTAAATAAACTGAAAGCCTTTGAATTAAGCTCTTGAATTAATTAAAAAAAAATTATTGGAAGATTAAATTTTATTTTGAGATTTTGGTGAACTAAGCTCAAATTAAATTGATTAATTCGAAGCTCTGCTGTTTAAAAACTAAAAGATGTTACTAATTTTCACAAAAATATTTGAGATTTGTATTGAAATACAAAACAAATTTGTGATAATTTGTAAAAATTTTTTGTTAATGAACAGACACATAATTTGTAGTGTCCGACCGAACGTTCGGATACGGGTTCGGAGTTCGGTGAAAAGTGAGGTTCGGCGAAATTTGGACCGAACACCGAACTTTTATACTTACTTTTTATAAAATGTTTATTTATCATATTTTATATATTTTTGTACAATAAATTTCCGATATACGTAGGTACAAAACGCATTTTTAACAGTTCGTTTTTTAGGCTGATTTGACAAACTGTTAACCAGAAACTGATTAAAAAGCTAAGAAACGTGAAACATTTAATTTGAATTATCTAGTTTCGATTATAAATCTTTGATCTCATTTGTAGGTAGGTAGGTAGGTAGGTAGGTAGGTAGGTCGATTTAATTCTATCATCTGATATCGCCCAAATTGCCTTCTGGTTGTCGGTAAATATATCAAGCCCTGTGGGCGCCATACTTATTCTAATCCAATTTACACATTCCGTTATTGCTCGTACTTCTGCCTGGAAGCTTGTGTTATGATTGGGTAAACGGTG